AAATTTCCATATGATAAGCCACTTTGTTGAGCTATTATTTGTGGCCAGGTCACTTCTGAAAAATAAGCGAATAGCTCGGTGGGCTTTACCTGGTAAGATAATACATTTTTAAGTGATTTGTTTACCTTTACTATACTTTGCACTCCTATCGTGTTTTTGTATTGTTTGTTGTCACGTTCTGACCTGCCCCTACTGGACGTCTGTGAAAAAGAGCTTTATAGCTCATCGGATTCCTCCAGTAAAAATAAATTGATTCTGATATCGGTAGAATGAATAGCACTTTGTAAGAAGTTGGCCATTCTTGTACCATTAAGGGACCACCCCCTACCATTGGAATATCGAATTTTCATAACTTCCTCAAGGCCACCAACAGAGATGAGTGCAGCAGATTGCTCATTTGACCAGGGAGATATGTCTTGGCTTGATCAATCGCAGTAACCTGAAGATTTCAACTTGTAAAGGAAAACTCAATCCTTCAGATGGAAGGAGGCTGTTGTTGGTTTCAATCCCGAGTCAAACACGTCACTTTTATTTCCACGGCTTGAAATTAATCTACTGCTGGGAAAAACGTGTGATACTGGTAAAAAAAACTACGTAACAGAAGATTAATGAGGGCGAGAATTATTTTTTACTTTATCTTGTAGCTATGCACCTGCAATGTGTGTTGCGAGCAGTCAGCCTTATCGTGACCTCATCGCAGTGACGTGTCACAAGGTACATGGCAGCAAAATCGTTACGGCGGCACTCATGAACGTCCCTTTAAAACCTAATTCTAGATTTGAAGCTTTCGTGACTGCAAGGATTCATACTCTTAGATTTTTTCGGTAAAGTCACGTAGGTAAAATAAAAAAAAATAATAATAATAGAAATAAAATTATAAATCACGACGTTTCGGAGGCAACACAAGTCTCCGTCATCAGGTGGGACCGTCGCAGCTAGATTTACTGTATCAAGTGAGGCAAAATTCCAAGAGACAAGCCCTTAAATACAAGTTAAGGGGGGAGGGGATTATCTGCATGTTGTAGCCAATGAATGGAACGTTTTGGGGGGGTGGGCGGGGCTAAAAGAGAACAATAGGTGCACATGTTGTGTTACCCGGTGTTGGTTGACAATCCAAATACAAAAAGGAGAGTACTGTTAAACGCTGGGGATGTCAACACTAAGTAAAGTAGAATAGTACCTGTCAAATAAGATGGTCCAAAAATGTGTAGTTAAATCTTTTTTGCATGGTTAATAACATCTTTCCAATGATTACTCAGTTTGTACCCATCATCACGGTTGAAGTTATGTCTGTGTTTATATATCTGGATGGCTTCGTGTACAAACCTTTGATGGTAGCCACAAGGTTTGCAGAGCACCTTGGTCTCGGAAAAGACAATCTCATGAGAGCCCACAGCATAATAGCAATGATCTTTAAAACCTTATTTTACGAAGCTTTAAGCTTGTGTGGGACAAACTCGGGTCATCTGTGTTCAGGGTGTATTTACACGACCACAGCAGTTTTGTGTGTGTTGTGGTTGGTTCTTCCTTGAAGTACATGATGCTAATTCCAAATTGGTGTGGCGAGGACGAAGCGATGAGGTCGACCATGCGCCGTGTCGGCAGAGTCATCCCCATCCCGTTTTTGCGAGCCGATTCTCTGTGCCACCGAGTAGCCAGCGGCCGTGGTCGCCCACTCGCCGTGAAAGGGAGCCGTGATTGCATCAGAATCTCTCCCCTCTCCTCGCTCGGTCGCTTCTTTTGTCTGCAGATAAAGTGTGGTGCGGCGAAACGCAGTAAAAAATGTTTCCTTTCGCCGCCCGAAAAGAGTACCCTGAATGTGGGAGCGAGATTGTGTGGGGATGGGGGGAAAGGGCTGCATTATTTTATGATGGCGTCATACTGCCGCCCCCGCCCCACGCCATTTTTTTTGTTGTTCGCCCTGTGAAAAATTGCACCTTCTTCGTAATTGCTCTTTATGGCGATGGAGAATAAAGCGGCTAGCATTTTTGAAGAGTCGCTATGCGTCACAGACCCTCGTCGATAGAGAACTGTGCATCGCTTACGGATGGGCTTTTAACGATGGGAGACAAAAAAAAATGCAAGAAAGTATTGGTTACGTCTGACAGGTTCACAAATTACTCGGCTTCCAATCGAAGAGACCACCAGGCCCGACCCCGCAGAGGCAGTCACACGTGAAGACAGTAAGAAATACATTTTTGAGAAACAACTTCCCTTCAATCTTCAATGTAGATGAAGTTAGATTTATCGTCGCCAAAACAGCTCCTGTTTGTGTGTATGCATGTGTACCCTGAGGCTATTGATGCATCATCGGGTTTGTATCTTGCATGCATGAAGGGGAAGAGCCAGGCAAAAGGATTGAATGCTTTTTAATGTTAAGTAAAAGGCTTTGGTGGAATTAACTAATGACAACAATGAGCCGCAGGACCTGTTTGTTACTTATCTGCACAGCTACTGATTTTGGAAGTGTATGAGGCCGTTGCATTTGTTTTCTGTGCGGATTAGCGTCTCTATGGACGTCTAATTTTGTGTGTGTGTGACTTACCATGTGCTGCTAAACCCAGTGACCTATATTATATTTCTTGCCATGGATAACAGTGAAAAGCGGAATCTCATCTGGTCTTGGGCCCCCCGCTAGGTTACTTAACATTAATTGAGTAACTCGTGAAGTGTGTATCATAAGTAGGGAGACAAAAGGCAGCCAGGCATGGTGTTGGCCACCCATCCCCTCTTCAGAGATGCTCGTCAACAGCTCCTGCCCAAACAGGCTATTAATGGCTACATGCAGCATCTTTATCCTTTATACGTGTGAATGTATCTGTGTGTTTGTGCACATGCTTATGCCTGTGCCTGCACACCTTTGTCCACATGTGCGCGCATCTATATTTGTATGTGTGTGTGCGTGTTTGCTCTTTGTCCTGTATTGCCTGCCATGGGTTTAATGTTTTTCTTAACATCTAGAAATTCCCCCTCGAGCCAATACTGGACCGCGACGCCACTTGCGTCGGCATGAGACACGGCAATGCCTGGAACCGCTTGCGTTCCCCAGCAGAGCGAGCACTACTGCCCTTAAAAGACATCTCAAAACAGCCAATGTCAATGTGGACACGTGGGAGTAAATGTCAGCCAAACCGTAAGCAGTGGAGAAGTGGCTTCTGTAGCCGACTTGGTCAAGAAAGAACCAAAGAGATTTGTCAAGAGGGTTGAAGTAAAAAGGGAAAAGGCCTATTGGCATCAACACCAGCAGCAATGCCGCAACGCACATCCCATTCAGCAGACGAGTAGGAACTCTTGCCCACAATACGGCCAATGCTTCCACTCAAGGACTGGCCTCCCACCAGCGTGCAGGAAAACGCTGCGAGCCGATCTCCGCAGTCATTTGCGATGGACAGCTGAAGAGAAGAAGGATCACGGCGCGTGGATAGCACTTGCGAGCAGTAACAATGATGAGTCTGGAAGCACTCACGATTATTTGGCCGTTGTCAGCATCCACCGTTCCAAGCGCTCACTTGGTGCGTGCTGCAGCGAGCGTGCCGTAGTGAGCATGCATGAGCATCGCAGTCGCGATTACTGCTTGTGCTCAAAAGCTGCAGATGAGACCCAAGCTACCCCACCAGCTGACAACAGCGGTAGAAGATAGGTGGTGGATACGCTCGTCAGCACCCCTGACCAGTCATCCAGGTATGAGGATCTCATTGCAGGGGCGGCTTCTCTTCGTGGATAAGAGGAGGGACGTGGGCATGGATTTGACGCAAGTCTCGTCGGGGACTTTCCCGCATATTCCATGCGGACAAGTATGTCCTGACCAGAACGACTGGGCATCTCTGCCCTCGGTGGCCACAGAGACTCTGATGGTCTTGACTAGACAGCTTAGGATTTTTCTACAGACCCCACATTCTGCTAGGGCAGTGAGAGCCTCTGAAGACGAAAACCTCTTCCTGAAACAAATCGGACTCAACCAGGGACCCACCTGCCATCGTTGGTCCGAGGCTACCAAATACCCTGCATGCTGCAGTGGGAGCGTCGGTGTCTGAAGATGATAAAATCTTCCTGGGACCAACTCGTCGGAGCGTCCACTTGCATCTCGCTGTAATGTCATTGGCCTGTACGAGTACATCTCCCAGGAACCCAAAGACGATGTCATTGACCTGGACGTGTACGTCTCCCAGGAACCCTGGATGCAGCATCAGCGGCTCGCCTTGACGTGCGAAGCTGTGAGAGTGGAGCTAAACAGGAGAGAAGCAAATCGGAAAAAAACAAATAGGCGACGTAACTCATCGGCAGAGTCGTCCTCCGACCGGGATTCATTGGACGAAGAGAGAGCTAAAAAATGGATGTTCCCACGAGATTTCATATGCTCGTTGAGGTGTAGGATCAGGCGCAAGCTCAGGGCAGTGGTGAAAATTGTGGGCGCCACACACGTTTGTCGGGCATTGCAGACAGGAAACATTGCCTTCACAGGATGCCTCCTTCAGGAGAGCACTTTTGTCTGCTGCCGTCTTAAGGAGTGGCCGATCCCTCCAGCAAGCACCAGCTCTGGTCTCGCATTGGGGCAGTAGCTGCAAGTATGGACTAGAGGAAGAGGTTTTTACCAAAGTACAAAACATTGTTGAACGTGTGTTGTGCATGAGCATAGATGTATCCGAATTTATGTGTGGGTACGTATGTATGTGTGCATGTGCGTGGGGAGAGGTAGCCTAACGCTTCGCGTGCAGCACTATGAACCCGGCGACACAAGTTCGATTCCTGCTCACGGCCAACACCAGTGACGATTTTCTGAACCGGTCCTGTGTCTCACCTAGGTCAACTTGGCCTCAATTGAGCAGCTGGTGTGGTGTGTAAACATCGCCACTAGGGAGACAGTCGGCCGGGCATTGTGCTGGCCACCCACCCCCTCGTGTGCTGTGCCGGCCTTCATAGGTGGTCGCTAACAGCACTCGCTCCAACAGTCTATTGAAGGATATACAGTATGGGGAATCTTTGTGCCCACGCGTGTGCAGGAAGAGACGTTTATGAGCCGCGTGGAGGTGAAGGTGAAGATCCCGGAGGAGCTGAAGCCCTGGCTCGTGGACGACTGGGATCTCATCACGCGCCAGAAGCAGGTGAGCGCTCCGTCTCGCCGTCGACCCATTGTGCGGGCGCTCTGGGGGGGAAGGGGGAGGGCCGTGGGTACGTTTCCTTGCACTAGCCCAGGAGTCGGCAACCTTTCAAAAAAGAAGAGGCTTTTGTACACAAACACAGCAGATATACAGCAGATGACAAGCAAATTCAGATTTAAATACACAAAATGTAATGAACTAAACTGTATCTTTCTTTTTTCCTCCTTATTTATTCTTGAACAATACTGTGCATTTAGTTGTCACCAAGAAATTCCATAGTGACCCATTCCCTGTCATCTATATATACTAAATGGAAATTTGTGAATGTGTGACTGTTCGAAATGTTTAGCATACTTCCCAACATGCAACAAACTTGAAATTTGGCATGTGGGTAGCTTCCAGACTGTACACAATGCAAAAGTATCAAAATTGACATTTGGGGGGGGGGGGGGGGCGGCGCAATAATGGATATATTTTGCACTTCTCGTGCAAAATATATCCAAAGAGCCACGGGGCAGCCAAAGAGCCACAGGGGGGAAGCTAAATAGCCAGCATGCGGCTCCATAGCTGCAGGTTTGCCGACCCCTGGTTAGCCCCACGCATCCGTGGTGACCGACACCCTGCTTTCCACTACACACTCTGAGGATGTGAGAAATGGCGCTGGTTTGGGTGGGCCTTCAGCGGTGGATTTAAGGCGCTGGGTCGATGAACAAGTGCGACGTGTGCACACGCACCGTGGTGGTGGTCGTGGCGCGCGCGCGCACGCACCATGATGGCGGTCGTCTGTGGGAGCACTCGGCGCACGAGTCGACGCCCGCTCCTCTCCACCGTGACAAAAATCAGCTCGCATCCCCCGCCGTTGCCATGGCCATTTTCCAAATACCGCTGTCACGCCAGATGAAAGGGCTGAGCGGGTGAGAGGTGGTGGGAGGGGACATTTAACCGATTCCTGCCACATGACCACGGGTGGGTGGGATAAGGTAAATTTAAAGGTGCATTCCTACAATTACTTGCTCGGGTACCTGTTGGCCGAAGGGCCTCTCCTAGAGGGAGCTCTATCGGGCCTCTCGAGAACGTATCTAGAGCGTATGTAGCTTCCCTTCTTCTATGCTGGCCAGGCATCTTGGAAGAGGTGCAAGTACCCCACAACTTTACCCCTCCACACTCAACGAGCTACCAATCTGCCAACTATCGTGTACCCGTTTATAATTGCTGTGAGTGGACGGAGGTGGCGGGGGATTTCTTAAAAACCTCGCCCAATTAACTCCCACGCTGAAAGATCGGACTGAGCCAGCGACCTCTGTTGACACATCCATGGGGTGGGGGGTGGGGGGGTAGGTGGGAGGAGGGTTATGCGAGTGGTTTAGAAGCGGCATGCTCGACCGTCATTGGGAGTTTGATATCAAGGGGAAAACGAAGTCCACATGATCAGATACTGCAATAGCAGACCTTGGAGGTCAGGTGGTGGCTGTGCATGTACTGTGGGATCTGGCAGAGGGACGGGAGTGATGGTGAAGTGTGGTGGCAATCATGGCATTGGCCATGATGACCTCTTGACCATGACGTGCTCATTTTGAGATGCTTTCTGTTGTAAGGCAGCATTAGCTCTGAGTGCGATGATACAGTGAGGGAAAAAAATATTTGATCCCCTGCTGATTTTGTACGTTTGCCCACTGACAAAGAAATGATCAGTCTATAATTTTAATGGTAGGTTTATTTGAACAGTGAGAGACAGAATAACAACAACAAATTCCAAAAAAACGCATGTCAAAAATGTTATAAATTGATTTGCATTTTAATGAGGGAAATAAGTATTTGACCCTCTCTCAATCAGAAATATTTCTGGTTCCCAGGCGTCTTTTATACAGGAAACGAGCTGAGATTAGGAGCACGCTCTTAAAGGGAGTGCTCCTAATCTCAGCTTGTTACCTGTGTAAAAGACACCTGTTCACAGAAACAATCAATCAATCAGATTCCAAACTCTCCACCATGGCCAAGACCAAAGAGCTCTACAAGGATGTCAGGGACAAGATTGTAGACCTACACAAGGCTGGAATGGGCTACAAGACCATCGCCAAGCAGCTTGGCGATAAGGTGACAACAGTTGGTGCGATTATTCGCAAATGGAAGAAACACAAAATAACTGTCAATCTCCCTCGGCCTGGGGCTCTATGCAAGATCTCACCTCGTGGAGTTGCAATGATCATGAGAACGGTGAGGAATCAGCCCAGAACTACACGGGAGGATCTTGTCAATGATCTCAAGGCAGCTGGGACCATAGTCACCAAGAAAACAGTTGGTAACACACTACGCCGTGAAGGACTGAAATCCTGCAGCGCCCGCAAGGTCCCCCTGCTCAAGAAAGCACATAGACATGCCCGTCTGAAGTTTGCCAATGAACATCTGAATGATTCAGAAGACAACTGGGTGAAAGTGCTGTGGTCAGATTAGACCAAAATGGAGCTCTTTGGCATCAACTCAACTCGCCGTGTTTGGAGGAGGAGGAATGCTGCCTATGACCCCAAATACACCATCCCCACCGTCAAACATGGAGGTGGAAACATTATGCTCTAGGGTGTTTTTCTGCTAAGGAGACAGGACAACTTCACCGCATCAAAGGGACAATGGACGGGGCCATGTACCGTCAAATCTTGGGTGAGAACCTCCTTCCCTCAGCCAGGACATTGAAAATGGGTCGTGGATGGGTATTCCAGCATGACAATGACCCAAAACACACAGCCAAGGCAACAAAGGAGTGGCTCAAGAAGAAGCACATTAAGGTCCTGGAGTGGCCTAGCCAGTCTCCAGACCTTAATCCCATAGAAAATCTGTGGAGGGAGCTGAAGGTTCGAGTTGCCAAACGTCAGCCTCGAAACCTTAATGGCTTGGAGAAGATCTGCAAAGAGGAGTGGGACAAAATCCCTCCTGAGATGTGCGCAAACCTGGTGGCAAACTACAAGAAACGTCTGACTTCTGTGATTGCCAACAAGGGTTTTGCCACCAAGTACTAAGTCATGTTTTGCAGAGGGGTCAAAAACTTATTTCCCTCATTAAAATGCAAATCAATTTATAACATTTTTGACATGCGTTTTTCTGGATATTTGTTGTTGTTATTCTGTCTCTCACTGTTCAAATAAACCTACCATTAAAATTATAGACTGATCATTTCTTTGTCAGTGGGCAAACGTACAAAATCAGCAGGGGATCAAATACTTTTTTCCCTCCCTGTATGTTTTTATGCACACAATTTTCAATACAGCCTCTTTATTAATTATTTAATGGTTGTTGACTGCGTACACCCAATATTTTTACCATTCGGTAACTGGAAATGATGACATGAAAGCTTCAAACTCCATACCAACCACGTGACATTCAAACGGACAAATGTTTTAAATAAATAAACCAACAGTTGTATTGTGGCAAAATGATCAAATGTGCGAGCACGTAGCCAGTGGCGCCAGTCCCTCGTTTGTCATTGATTCATACTTGTGTACATGCCTCGTCCCCCCCCGCAGGCCTGCCGCTTAGCGAGCAGGACGCCACCAATGCGATGAATGCTTCCCCGGGAATTCTGAGCAGTGTGCTGCCGCACGTTCGTAAAAGTCTCTCAATCGCCGGCCACCGCCAGCCCTCGCCTCCTGCTAGCAGCATAATTCTAAACAGAAGCTGGCCTTGACCCATTGTCCCCGAGAATTGTAATTGCTTTTCATGAATGTCCCGTGCCAAACTGACCCCGTGGCTCTGGAGTCATGGGGGCTCATACCACCGTGTCAGAGCTCTGAGTAAGCACCACTGAGATTCTAGATTTGAAGCTTGAGATCCTCGATTCAAACCGGGTTTTCATTTGTACCAAGTTGATTGTCTCAAGATGGTCACCGATTCGCTGCACAATACACCCGTAATATTGAATGTGGTTTATCATTTAAATCACATTCTGCCTCTGAATAGTATCATATATTTACCTATTTGATTGCCTTGCAATGAAAACCTCTTTATTAAGGCAGGTGAGAAGGTGGCACCAATTAAGCCCAAATCCTTAGTCACGGCTTAGCTCAAATCCATGCTTACCTTGAGCTGGCTCTGAGTATTGTCCCAGCCACACTCCGGAGCTTGAGTTGAGTAGTGGCTGAGCCACTCGTGCATCTCTAAACAAGCAACTGAGTGGCTCATACATGAGCTGAGCCTGAGTGTTAGGGGGCGAGCCTGAGTAATAGGGGGCGAGCCGGAGCCAAGCCACAACTAAAAATACGGTCGTTAGTACGTGCAACAGGCAAACGAAGGGACCTCAACAGTGGTTGTATGGTGTCACCTTCCAGAACCCTTCTATAACAGGTGATGATGTTAGACTGCTGTGTGTGAGAGTTCACGATGTGAATGTTTTTGTGTCGTGGCGTGTGACTTTGGTAGCACATTTAGAACGCAATTGAGGAACAGGAACGCAATGTCCCATGCTGTTGTCAGAGCTGCGACGGGAGAGAGCTGTGATGTTCTCGTGGTAACAAAGGCACTTTCACCTTCCATCTCTCTCGCTCTTTTCTTGTTCAGCTATTTCACCTTCCCGCGAAGAAAAATGTCGATTCCATCCTTGAAGACTACTCCAATTACAAGAAGTCACGGGGGAATTCGGACAACAAGTAAGTTGCCTAGCACAAGACAGCACTCAATAATAATGTTTTCCCAGGAAAGCCTCAATGAATCTCAAGATTTTCTCAGGAGGCTCCTGTGTGGCTTGTTTATGGCCAGTTTCTTTATATAGAGTTATTATTATCTGGGGAGAAACCCGAGTACGTGGAAATAACCCTTGAATATGAGAGTAACTCAAAAATATCTGGACGGACAGGTTCATAACGATTAAACTATTTTTTTTATTTTACCACTCGCAGGAAGTACCCGGCGTTGCCTGGGTCCAAAAGATATTTAAAAAATACTCTTAAAAATCTAACAGCAGTGCGTACTGACTGGTGGTACCGGCCGAGGTGGCACCTTGGCAGGCTGGGGCTGGGCTGCTACCCCTGACCCCCCCCCCAGCCACAATCTTCCCAGCCGCTCTGCAGTAATATCTATGGCCTATAGTGGTAGCATCTACCGACTGTATAGTAGTAATAACTGCACGCATCAGGGTGGGGGGGGGGACATTGCACAGTGAAGAATTAATGTCAGCGTTTAGTGTATTTTTATAGCATTTTTAACGCGAAAGAAAATGTCCCCCTCACTCCCACCGAAGGCGTGTGACTTGGCATGGGCCGTCCCCCCCCACCAAAGGCGCGTGAGTTGGTATGGAAAACCCACAAACTTTGCTTTTGTGACCAGGACTTTATGTGAAGGAATTACACAAATGCACACCATGTTTTCTCATTTAAAATAGGTAAATTTAAAAATATCGCTGTCCTGGTCACAAAAGCAAAGTTTGTGGGGAATAATAGCCATTTTCTGTACTTTTGAAGCATAAGCAATTGGAAAATAACACTTACTACCCAGGAACAAAAACATATTTTTTGTTACGCAGTGTAATCCCTCTTGAACCACCGGCGACCCAAAGTGAACCCAAAAGGGTTCAATTTAAACCGCGCGGCACAGCGCGGGATAAGTCCACGCGTGTTTACCACGGCACTGGGGTCAGGTGTGCGTCATGCATTTAATTACATGATTGATCGCCTTGAGAGCAGCGCGCAGTTAATCCGTGGGCGAAGCCTGGTACTTTACCCATTTGCAGCCACATTATTGGGGTGGGAATTGTACAAAATTGCCCGGTGACCTCACATCATCAAAGGCCAATTTCTAAGCCGTAATCCCGTTGGGTTTCACAGTGGAGGCTGATGGCCATTGTCGCATTCGGCATGTGTGTGTCCATCCCAGCGCGTGCTTATCCCGGAACCTGCTTGTCCCGGAACGTGCGTTGTCCCTGCATGTCCGTGCGTGTCCCGGCATGTCTGTCCATGTGTGTGCCCCAGCATGTGCGACCATGTTCACGTGTGTCCGGTGTGTGCGGAGCGGTAGTACAGCGGTAAGTGTGCTTCTTTACGAACCCGACAACCTAACTTCGATTCCTGCTCATGGCCAATGCAGGTGACAACTGAACCGAGCCCTGGGCCTCCCTGAGGTTGACTCAGCCTCAAATTAGAACTTGGTGCGACATATTACCACTGGGGAGACGATGGCGGCTGGGCATGGTTATGACCACCGACCTCCTTGTGTGCTGTGCCAACCTTTGAAGGCTATATGGGGGAAGGGGGGATTTTTGTTTGTGTGTCGTGTGCACCTGAGGGATTTATTTACCACTCAACTTCTGTTGGAAAAACAATTCGCACAAACTGTTAATTTTTACTTCCCCTCACAAGCACTCACGGATGTCATCGCGCCCCAACCCACCACCCCCACCCACCTCTCCCCCCCCCCCTTGAGGGAGTACGCGGTGAGCGACGTGGTGGCGGGGATCCGCGAGTACTTCAACGTCATGCTCGGCACGCAGCTGCTCTACAAGTTCGAGCGGCCGCAGTACGCCGACATCCTGGCCGACCACCCCGACGCGCCCATGTCCCACGTCTATGGCGCCCCCCACCTCCTGCGCCTCTTTGGTGAGCGCATCCCCTGAAGTCGCGGGTGTGGCCTCACTTGCGAGTGGTTCCTGTGGGTCGTTGGTCAGATTACCGATGGGATCTGGCGGCAGCCCCCCCCTACTCACTCCCCACCTCCCCCTTCACTTCATCACGGATAAGAGGAATTCTACAGCAATAGGTATTATAAGTCTGTGCAACTGCTGGCGAGGACTGAACCTACTTTTCGTGTGCGCTTCTGTGTATTTTAAAGATTCCGTTGTGAGCATTCAAAGGGATTTAGGTCGCCTCGTTAAACGCGAACTCAGAAACAGCAGGACTTTTCTACAAAATGGTGTGGGAGTCTCTTAGCCGTATCTAAACATGGTGGGGGTGTCTGGACATCCACGGCACTCACAGTGGCTGTGCTCCTGGCCACCGGTGCCTGGCTTAGGGGATGTCGCTGCTGCCGATACCACTGCCAGCTCGGGGTGGGGGCGCCTGGTGGGGGAGGGGGCCCAGGTGGGGGGGGCAGGCATCACCATAACGGTTTCTTCTGTGGGAAGGGCTCTATACCACCCACCTCTACGGCACCACTCTTCGCCAATATTCACCCCAATTCACGGCACGTTATATAATAGACTGGCATTTACAGAATGCTCTTCATTCAGAGCATCCTAGAGTGCTTTGCAATCGCACAGACACACAAAAAGTAAAAACTCAAACCCATTTGCTGATCAATCCTGCTCTAAAATAAACTAACTGCAATTGCATGTGTTTTAAAATTTTATTTAAAAGGTTTGATTGTCCAGCAGCATTGCTGATTTGTCAGGACATTGAGTCTCTGATGCACGGAGTATAGCAACTATAGGCCCCCCTTGCCCACTCTCCCTTCTCTAAGACAACTTCTGAAAGTTCAGCGCTCACTGATCTCAAGGTGCAGCTAGGAGCATTAAGGTTATTGTAAATGCAAGGCATTTTACTGCGAAGGGGTGTATTTAAATAAAATAATGAGCAGAGTTTTTGAAATTCCACTGTTGAAGAAGCAGGCGGCATGTACTTTACAGTGAATACCGCTGCAGTATTAACCAGGGCAGCCTGCTTGGATTTTAGCCACGAACGACTGCAAAGGATCGGCATGCGTGCTACCGCTGGGCCATATCACCGCCCCACGAATGACACTTGCAAAGTGAGCACTCACAATCAATGTCACGAATTATCATTAACGTAACCATCACCATCATCGGCCATGGTCAGTCTATTGTTGGATGAAGGCCTCCCCACACAGTCACCAACCCACATGCTCGCCTCAGAAAATCAGAGTTGGCTTTCTCCCACGTATGTGTTTATGCCTGCAATCAAATGTTTTGGAAATATGTTATAAAATTAACAGGGGCTCCACCGTTATTCCACCTTAGGCTTTCGCTCATTTCGGATTGTGAAGGGCGCTGCTTGCTTCTTAATGGGTATGGCTTTTCCCCGAAATGTATAGGAGGCTTTTTGGGTTTCGTTTCTTTGAGAGATTTGCTTCAAATTCTATCTCTGTAAAAAAAAAAAACTCAACACATTCATCTGTAAAACTTTGGCTTTAAAAGAAAACTAAATAATAGGTGACATTATTCATAGCACGTGATGTGTTTATTGTTTTTGTTGATTGCACTTATGCACAACTGCCTAAGCAGCAGCATCCCTTTAATAATTAGTTTTTTATTTGTGTCGTTTATTATTGTTCCGTCTTGCGCTCTCAGGGTTACGGTTCTCCTTTCATGTTCTCGGTGGTAATTGTGAAATCTTCAATCACGTTCTCATTGTGTCCTTTCAATTCAAGTCTTGTACCTTGCCTGAATGGCTTCACAGAGTTATTTGTATTATGTTTGTATTTTGACATTTTCATCCGTTTCCATGTCAGCTTTTCGTCATCGTGCCTTTTTGTTGCTTCGGGATAGCTTTTTCTCCTCTTTGCTTTTTGTGCTTTGCCCTGCCAGCTAATTAATAATAATAATTCTTAATTTCAACTTGAAACTCGCTGCATACTATCCCGCTCGCTCACAAAGAAAGAGGACATCTTGAGACCACACTCGAGTGCAAAAGGCATCGGCGTGGCGGAGAGCCGGATCCAAATTCCCCACCCAAGCTCTGCGGTTCTTCATATTCTTTGGGTTTTTCGGTAAAGCGACGTAGATAGAAAAAATAATACAATATCACGATGTTTCGATCGCAACACAAGCAATCGTCTTCAGGTGAAAAACGAGGGGGAAATCTGCCGAAGCAGGCTGTTTATAAAGGTTTAGAGATGGGCAGGGAAACTAATGTTAATGTAGGAGAGGTCTCTGTAGCCTGCAGTAGGTCTACACCGATCAAAGAGCTGTTTACAAATGGTTTAGAGATGGGCGGGGCAGCTATTGCCAATGTGGAAGAGGTACTACGGAGCTGTGGGGGGTGGCCAATGTATTGTGAGAGATTAGCATGTCAATTTAAGAAATTTTAAGCTCGGCGAGAGCTCGGACAGCGCAGTAGCCACATGGAGGTGGAAAAGAAAGGCAAGTCGCCATTTACTAACACAGCTAATGGTGGCTTTGTTAGTGAATGTAACTCAGAGAGTCGAGAATAACTGCTAACATAGGTAGGTAGGATCGGAACATCACAGCCAGTTATGACCTAAACTGGTTAATAAAGTCCTTCCAATGATTGCTCAGTTTGTACCCATCTTCTCGGTTGAAATTGTGTCAGTGTTTATATATCTGGATGGCTTCATGAATGAATTTTTGTTCATAGCCAGTGGATTTGCAGAGTACCTTCCTCTTGGCAAAATCAATTTCGTGTGTGCCCACAGCGTTAGAATAATAATCAGCCGTGGCATGCTAATCTCTCGCAATACAATGGCCACCCGCCACAGCCACATTCACTAACCCAGCCACCGTTAGCTGTGTTAGTAAATGGCGGCTTGCCTTTCTTTTCCACCTCCATGTGGCTACTGTGCTGTCCGAGCTCTCGCCGAGCTTCAAATTTCTTACATTGACATGCTAATCTCTCACAATACATTTGCATAGTCCCATGGAATGTTGGCTATCAACAACAAGGCAACTCCTATGACTAGTTGGGAATGGGACGCAAGCTTAGGATTGATCACCCTGTCGCTGGCCGCTTTTGGGGAGGGTGTATAGTATGAAAGGCTGAAACACCCTAGGAACCAAAGGTTCACTACTGACGATGCGCTCCCCAAATTTCACCAGGCTCACTGTTCAGGAACTCTTGGAAGTGCTTGCACAAAGGATAGTAACATCTCACCCTGTGTTCTTTGGAAACATTCCACCTCCATGTGGCTACTGCGCTGTCCGAGCTCCCGCCGAGCTTCAAATTTCTTACATTGACATGCTAATCTCTCACAATACATTGGCCACCCCCCACAGCTCCGTAGTACCTCTCTCACGTTGGCAATAGATGCCCCGCCCATCTCTAAACCATTTAATAACCGCTCTTTGATTGGTGTAGACCTACTGCAGGCTACGGAGACCTCTCCTACATTAACATTAGCTGCCCCGCCCATCTCTAAACCTTTATAAACAGCCTGCCTCGGAAGATTTCCCCCTCTTTTTTCACCCAAAGACGATTGCTTGTGTTGCGATCGAAACGTTGTGATATTGTATTATTTTTTCTATCTACGTGGCTTTACCAAAAGACCCAAAGAATATGAATTCCTGCAGTCACGAAAGCTTTAAGTCAAGGTCCTCCATATATTAAGGTTTTTTGTTCGATCACTTATGAGTGTTTTATATGTGGGAGGAAACCAGAGCATCTGGATAAAAACCCACACATGCAAGGGGGCAATGCTCTATCGCATAGAGATGGAACAGGTAGAGTCCACCCTTGCTAGAACGCCTTCTCCTGCCAAGTCAGAATATGGCGCCTCCTCGACGCCGCCACGGGAAGGGAGTCCCAAGGCATTTCATGTGATCCACCAACCCTCCTCGCTGCTGCCTCCACGGTGCTGCATGACAAGCATGTGCCACTCTCCGTAATGACCATAACGAAGTTAGTTATTTAATTATTAAATACGTTTATTCGTTTTCCTGTCGGGATCTCGGTCATGTTTATCTTAATCAGTCCATGTTCCCTTCCTCATCTAGAGATTGTTGATGTTTAACCCTCTTGGGGTGTTTTTGTTGTTTCTTTGTTGCTGGCATCCACTTTGTTGTTGTGATGTTGAAGCCCAGCTTCTGTCACATCGGTGAGCCAGTGATCACTTCCTGTGATTTCATTTCCCATCGTTTTGCCTGTGTGCAAATAATGTAAATTTCATCCCTAATCCCTCCAATTTTGATACCCTATCGTGTGTCCCGTTTTTGAGAACTTTTTTTTTATTATTTTAAAGTGTCATCTTTTTTAGGCCATTTGCTGGCTGCTAACTCAAACAGAAGCCCTCTCTTGCTCTGTGATGTCATATTTACCAATCATCCTCTCATCCCATGCTCCCTTGATTTTACTCCTGCATTGAAGTCCCCTTTTATTAGTGTGTTTTGCCCTCGTGTATATTAAGAATTAAGGTTTTATTTAAACGTTAACACAAAGCGCTGAAATTCAACATTTTTCTTGGGGTTGGCAGATGGGGCAACACGGTATCATTAACAGAAAATAAAAAAACACAGGAGACATTTCATACGTGTAAGGCATTCACTGCCAATGTTACGATTCATAATTGGGTTTTTATGGGCTAGATCATCGGTCAGGCACAATGCCAATTATACATATCACCTCCCACCACCCAACATAACCAATCAAATGAAGTTATCACGTCATGGCCAAATATGCCAATCGATTTTTTTTCTTTTAGCAAACCACCAGAGTAATGTTGAAAAGCAATTTTGACAATTTTATATGACACTTTGCGCGAGATTACAGTCCGGAGCTCAGCTCGCATACGATGAGAGCTCAGCATCTGTTAACACCTCAGGATGCTGCACGTAATCTCCAGCGGAACGGCGTAGAAAATTGTCAAAATGTTGGTTGGGCTTTTCAATGTTTCTGCTCCTCCGGTTAGCACGGTTGGCTACGTACAGTACAAAAGAAGTTCAACATACATATATGCATAAGTTCCTCAAATTTTCCCATGACATGAAAGTTTAGTTTAAATCGAGGTATGTTTATTTTACCAGGTAAGGCCCACTGAGCTATATAGCTATTTTTTTCAGAAGTGACCTGGCCACATATGATAGCTCAACGAAGTGGATAATTATAGCAGCCAAATACTCTTCACCTGTGATTGGTTCTATCGGGTGTCGAGGGTTATCGTAAAATGATGATGCGACCCGAAAGAATCTGATTAGAAATCACTCGGAGAAAATAAGATGACCACAAATAAACAGCCTCATCTTACACCATTGGAACCTCATTTGCCAGTAGAAAAATATGATAATTGTTTTTTTACCCTTTTTTCTGGCAACAAAACTGACACCTTTTTTACAAGGAGTCATTTTTGCATAGACCACAATACCTGCAGTCGGAATGCAAACAAAAAACATAACTCTGATAATGTATGCACTGTCCTTGAAGTTGATTGGTCCACACCCGAGACAGCTTTCCTTAGAGCCTAGTCTCACATGGTGTTGGACCAGATGACGCGTCACCTTGGCAGGCTGAGGCTGGGTTGCTACCCTCTCCCTCCCCCACCATCCCCCCCACCCGCTCTACAATAATATTATCTAAGCGCTATAATATTTGTATCTACCGACCCTATAGTAGTAAGTGAACACAATGGGGTGGGGGAGAAGAGGACATGACACTTTGAAGAATTTACCTCAGGTTTGGAAAAAAATTAATAATAAATAGCGCTAAATTGCTAATTTAACTACTTTAAAGTTGACGGATGGGAAAATGGAATAGCGCTGGCTCACCACGGGGCTTATGGCGTGGTACCTGGCTACTGTTTTTAAATGTAAGCCCCACGGTTTGCGAGCCAAATCCTTCGCAAGTTTCGTATACAGACACGCAGACAGACAGACAAAAAATTACGTTTATAGGTTAGATACACATCTGCACATCTTCTTGGCCTGTTGTTGGGCCCTATGTTTGAATAAAACCTATCCTTTTTTTTGGTCAGAGCATTTCACGCGAGCTGAGAAAATGATATCTTGAGAGTTTTCCAATCGTAAAATTCCGTGTTCGATTTCTGGAGATGCTTAAGTGTTGCAGGTACTTCTTCTGTCAGCGTGTCGTATTTTATTTGAGCATTTAGTGCCGTGTCTTTTTTATGTTTTCGCCATAATTTAAGACCTCGTATATATTCATTTGTGTCTGTTTTACTGGTTGCAAGGCAGTGTGTTATTTATGACATGCATAAAGTACGTTCGGCCTGGGCCTCTCCATCACTGTCAACCCTGCCCCTGAATATTCATATTCTTAGGTTTTTGATCTGTATATAGTATATATGGGCACCTTACATACACGTACATCCCGCCTCGATACATGAAATAGGGCGATGTTGATGTGCACATCTATGTCCACGTGGGTGCAAATGCTTGTGTGCGTGCTTATGTCATTACATCTGCGTGGGTGTATGCGTGTGTTTGCATGTGTGTGTGTGGGCGTATACATGCGTTGCTTCACTGATTCATTCGAGTGACATTCTTTTTTCGTTGGCTGGGTAACGCTGTGTGGAAGCTTTTGCCTGTCCTGTCGCTCCGTGTCTTTTCAGCCTCGGTTTTGCCCTCCCTTCTCTATGCTTGCAAAAGGTTGGATCTCTTTATTGGAGCATCTGCACTGGATTCGAAAAATTCATTGTGGCCTGCCTACAATCCATCCTGGGTATGACCAGACTGGATTGCGTGAGGAGCTCGTAGATCCTTGAAAGGTCTGGACACAGTCCCATCAGTGAGCTCTTCTGCCAGGCGAGGTTGCATTGGTTGTGTTATGTATCCTGCATACCCATCCACCGCATGCCACAGCAGCTTCTGTTGGCCACATCGAGGGGGAAAAAACACGCGGCACAGACGGGCTGATGAAGGACTGGAGGATGTGGAACTGAGTGGACTTGCCAATGACTGGTACCAGGTAGAGGAGCAATGCTAACAACAATTAGCGGAGCGCCGGGCGGCTAAAACGCTGACATTTTTCACAGTAGGGAACACGTGGTGCATCTGTCAGTTACCTCAGACAGTTAACCAATAACACCTGGGTCTGTCCAGTGACCTGCTAGCGTGCCTTTCACACGTGACCTCAAAGTCCACCTAGCCTGGCACAGGCGTCATGGTGACATCACCCTGACTTAGTGGTGAATGGCGGGTATTGGTGTGTGTGAAGGTTTGGTACTCATTGTCTGTTGATGGGGAAAAAAATTACTTCATATATCAATTCAGCAATGTACATTTGTAGTGGGTTCAACTGAGTCGCAAACATAGACTTGGAGGCAACACATTTATCAACTCCAACACACGGGGTAACTTTCCCCTTAACAGAATAACAACCTATGGTGGTGACCACCAGGCTAGTTGCACTAATCACAATGTAACTGCTACGACGGACGGGGACCAACAGCTTGTGTCCAGGTCCACGTGTTGGAGACTCGTTGAACGGAGAATGTAGACGAAGGTTTCTTCCATGATGAACAACAACCCTGATCTCTCTCGGAACCCGGCTTATATTCTCTGCGGCGTGGCTGGCTCCGCCCTTTGCCACGACCACCTTCTAGAATCCTCGGGAGAGATCTGGATCCCAACCACGTGACCACCCCTAGCCCCCACTTGGGGCCCCTTTGCAGACTTGACTGGCCACGTGTCCTCCTGGGTCAACCAGAGTGCCATGGCCTTTAGTAACCTCATCCTACGGCCCACACTCACACACCCTGTCCTGTAGGGTTGGCACTGCACGCCAAGTGTAGTGCCATCTCGCGTTATCAATCAATGCTCACCGGGCCCCTCTAGGGCCGGTACTACACGTTGACATCTCGCGATGTCACTACACATTTATGAACTTGATCGTTTTTATAACATTCCATCTCAGAAGCTGTCATTCTTTCCGCTCTCGTGCTATTGCCCGACACCTTAACCACTGTTATATGTTTCTGCTGCTAGGCAGCGATAATGAAGATGTTATGACAACAAGTTTGGCACATGCACGCACTCGTGTATGTGTGTGTGCGCATGTGCTCATGACTAGCTCCGGTTTGACAGCAGAGGTCTCAATCCGAATCAGTCGAGCGGCATCTTTTCATCGACTGCGTACCTGGTCTGTCACTCCACGAAGCTTCGGGTCTTCTCGGCCACGGTCATGCCCTCCCTTCACTATGCTTACGAAACATGGACCCCCCTAATGGAACATCTTCGCCAGTTAAAGACATTGAGGCTGGCCTGCCTACGATCCATCCTGGGTTTAACCAGGCTGGATTGTGTGAGGAGCTCACAAATCCTTGAAAGATCTGGACAAAGTCCCATCGGTGAGCTTCTCCGGCAGGCAAGGCTGCGTTGGCTGGGTCATTTAGCCCGCATGCCTAGCCACCACATGCCTAAACAGCTTTTGTTCGGCGGGGTAGAGTGGGCTAAACGGGCGCGGCATGGGTTGCAGAAGAGATGGAGTGATGTAGTACAAGAGGATGTGGAGCTAAGTGGACTTGCCAATGACTGGTATCAACGGTGTCAAGATCGGCCTCTGTAGAGGAGGCTCGTGAAGGATGCTACTGGGCAGTTGGAGGCAGTCGCCCTCCAGCAACAAAAGAGGACAGAGGAGCGACGATCACAACAATGAGCAGAGCGCTGGAGTGCTATAACACCAAGTTGGCAGAATAGGGGGCACAGGTGGTGCATCGGAGGGTCATCTCAGTCAGTCAACCCATTGGCACCTGGGTCTGTCCCGTGACCACCTGCCGGCAGGCATTCTATACTTCACGTGGCCTTAACGTGCACATGGCCTAGCACAAGCACCATGGTGACGTCACCGCCACTTGGTAGCAAATGGCGGTTGTAGCGTGCGTGTGTTAGGTGGGGAGGGGCAATGTAGTGGTGGTGACCCGAGTGTGATTCCCGCTCATGGCCAACATCCATGACGTTTATCTGAACCGATCCTGGGGCTCCCCTAGGTCGATTCGGCCTCAAATGAGTACCTGGCGCGGTATGTAAACATTGCCACTAGGAAGACAAAGGCGGCCTGGCGTGGTGTTGGCCACCCACCCCCTCGTGTGCTGTGCCACCCTTCATAGGTGCTACTTGCTCACAGCAGTTGCCCCAACAGGCTTTTAATTCTATACGGGGGTCTTTGTCTTGGTTAGTTCGGATAGGCTCCATGCTGGCCTACACTCCTCTGGACGAGAAAGGCATGGCTCTGCTTCTCATCTTCCTGCACGACTTTCTCAAGTGAGTGTCACCCATTCGCCCTCTGCACTGCCAGGTACCGCATCTTAGAAAAACATCAACACATTTGTCAATAACACTTGCCTTTAAAGCAAAGGAAGAAAAAACAATTTGAGTGACGTTTCGGGAAATGTCTAAAATAATGGGCCCTTGAAGGCAGACTTTTTGACGAATGTGTTGAGTTTGGCTTTGGCCGTGAGCAGGATTCGAAACCCAGGTTCGCCAGATTCGTGGCAAAGCACGCTAACCGCTTCGCCACCACTCCTCACTCCCGCACACTCCTTGTTTACACTGTTCGCATTAAAACGTCAAATATAGATAAACTGCTACTTTTCTTAATGCCACAAATGTAACGTGCTTTTATTCACTGCCCTCCCTGGATGATTTGTCATGAACTAATGTCCCCATTAGTGACCCGGTCCCCTAAATCTGACACCGTGCGTAGAGACCTCTCAAAGGGCACCGCCTGGTTATTTGTGCTTGTGAACCACTACCAATGCAACAGCATCACCAAATAATTTATTATTATAGTAATACGGTTCTTTGTCCCAGGAATGTCTCACTCAGTCTCAAAGACCCTTTTTTCAGGGGGGTATCCTGAAATAGTTTATCGCATTGGGGGATGGGGCAGACGATAACTATGTCTTTCCCAGTTGAGTGATTTGCTATAATTTTCAAATGTGGATACCACAAGAGTTGTGGTGGTGGTGATAATGGCGGTAACAATGTTGCGATGTTGATGGTGCTAAACGTGACAGTGGTGAGTGTGATGATTCCATCCACGATGATGATGACAGATATTCTAGTGACTGGTAATAATATTGTTAGGGGTGTCAGTGATGATGACATGTGGACTGCTCATGCAATCGCCCACCCCCCCCCCCCCTTTTTCGGTCGAAGGTACCTCGTGAAAAACTCTGCCGCCCTCTTCAGCGCGAATGACTATGAAGTGGCCCCACCAGAGTACCACCGGAAGGCCGTATAATAATCCAAGAGTGAGAGGAGGCAAAGGTCGGACATGATGGAGCTCGGAGCGAACATCTCCTCTCGGAGCATTTTTCCCCATTTAGGAAGGATGCACTTAAAGCGTCATATTCACTGCAGCATATATAAAGCTTTGAAGTGTTTTATTCATAAGCCTTTACATAAGGGCTCTTTATATATAAAATGCATTATTGTTTCCGTGCATTAATTTGTCACGGCTGAAGCTGTGTGCATGCAAATAGATTATACTGCTTCGTGCCACCGCTTCGTTTCCATAGAGAGAGGCAGAGTCTGGGGGGCGAGCGCAGAGGTTGAAGGGAGTATGGTGGTGGGGGGGAGGTGTAGAGTTTGAGGAAGGGCGTTGCGAACAATGACGTGCTTAAGAGAATTCTCGTTGCATACCGTCGTTCACATCGTCTTGTTCTTCCCGTGTGACTGGCTGGTGGTCGCAGACGGGACCGGCAGCCAGCACCGCGCGCAGTGCAGCCGCTGGCCGCGTAGACGCCATGGGCGATCGTTTTAGACAGACGCCACCCGTCGCTATCGTTTGGAAGAGGCAGTCATGTCGCTTGGAGATGAAAATGGCGAAATATTGTATTGAATCACTGGGCGACGCGTGGCTTTCAAGTTTTGCAAGAAAGCCTCCTGTTTATTTTCTAAGCCAATGTTATCACTGTCACTAATATTAAAACAATAAATAGGCCTCTTCGTTAGGGGAAAAGTAAATAAAGAAAGCCTCACGGACTATGTCCATAATTATTTCCACTCTTTTGTGCCCTTTAAGATAGGTCATCGCCTGAAACGTTGACTTGTTACCTATACGTTCCTCAGTTGTGAGGCAGCGTTAATAGTGTGTCTGGCGGGTTTTTTTACATCTGTGCTGAGAATAAAACGTATGGTTGTAAACTTAACGTTTAACTCGGGTTTTCACGGCTTAACATCGTTATTGTGATGTTTCTGTGTACAGTATTAGGTTCTCACAATGTAACTTTACAGTTAATAAACACGAAGTTGATGTCTTCCAAAGGTCAAATGCTTGTTGTTTAATCGCTCAAACGAACGCGCATTAATTCGTACGCGGTGTGTCGTGTTTTTGCCGCGCCTTGCAGAGGTTCCCAGCTCGAGCCCAGTGGCTGTCCTGGTGAATGCTGCGGGAATGTGAACCATAGATGCTTGCGCCATCTGCTTCACGGCAGACATTAAACGATCCAGTGACGTTATTCGAACTAGATCAGGCCGTGCATGCCAGTATCGCGGTGCAACTTCGCCAAATTGTATTAATCGTTCGCAAATTACTTAATAGGGGCAAACTACGTAGCAATGTCGCCCGCCTACTGGCAGACTGATGTCTGAAAAATAAGAATACAGTGATACCTCGGTTCACGAACTTAATTCGTGAACTGACTCTGGTCGCGAACCGAATTGGTCATGAACCGAGGCACATTTTCCCATAGGGTTCAATGTAAATCCGGTTAATCCGTTCTGACCTTTTTTTTTGGTTTTTGAAGCACAAAAATATGAAACAAATTACAATACACATTAGTACTGTACAGTATAGTAATGTATAAAGAGAGAACACTAACCTTGCTTGAGATGACTTCAGTAAGCACTCAAACGGGTGAACTGTACAATACAGTAAGTATAGTATTGTACAGTACAGTAGTACAGTACTGTATGTGCTAAAAAGCACACCAAAAAGCAAAAAGTCACTGAAAGTGTCTTCACAGTACTCACAGTACTTCTTTCTGTGTCTCTTCTTCTCTCCACGATCTTCCTACAGGAAGTCACGACCATGTGACAGCCTGGAAATAGCATTAAAATGGCCGCGGCTCCTGTTCGTGAACCGAAGCGGAGTTCGTGAACCGGAGCATATTTTTATGAACTTTTCTGTTCGTGAACCGAGTTGTTCGTGAACAGAAGTGTTCGTGAACCGAGGTATCACTGTAGGTTTTACTCTTTCTGGCAATAAAACGGTTGTTAAGATCAGGGGCGGTTTCTTCATTAGGGCGATTGGGCGACGCACCACCAATGTCATTGAACCACAGAGTCACGCTAGCCGTCACTGTCAGCCTCTGGATATAGTCCAATCAGCGTCATGTCACGTTCTGTGGAGTACCGCCTCTTTTTGGGCGATTTCACTCCGGCTGAGAATCGCCCCGAGTGGCCCCATAGACTTACATTGAAAGATGTTTTTTTCGAACGGGGGCGCTCCAATGCATTCTCTATGGCTTCCGGGAGGGCAAGCCCTAACGTGCTTACGTCATCATACGTGCTAACGTCATCATACGTAAGCACGTTTCATCCAACAATATAATTTATCGCCACCTAGTTGAATCTTCTTCTTGGTTCTTTCGGTAAAGTCACGTAGAAGGGAAGTAATAAAATAATAAAAATAAAACATAATAAAAATATTCTCACGACGTTTCGGCCACAACGCAAGTTATTCTCACGACGTTTCGGCCACAACATTCCACTCACTGGCATGGTGCAGTGTGCAGAGTAATGTATGGTGTCATAATTGTATAGTAAATATATAGCAGTGTGATACACATTAGGGTGGGTAGAATAATACATAGTGTTATATTAAAATGGATAAGGCAGCAACTGCAGCAGCAGCAGCAACTGCAGCAGCAGCAGCAACTGCAGCAGCAGCAGCAACTGCAGCAGCAGCAGCAGCAACTGCAGCAGCAGCAGCAACTGCAGCAGCAGCAGCAGCAACTGCAGCAGCAGCAGCAACTGCAGCAGCAGCAACTGCAGCAGCAGCAGCAACTGCAGCAGCAGCAACTGCAGCAGCAGCAGCAACTGCAGCAGCAGCAGCAACTGCAGCAGCAGCAGCAACTGCAGCAGCAGCAGCAACTGCAGCTCCCTTTGATGCTGTTAATCCTGCATAATGCACATGCATATGCAGTACTAATCACATTCCTGCATTTCCCATAAATATGCTAAATTCCTCTTGATATGCAAATTCCTTTGTCAAGGCGCCCAGCTTATATATATGCTCCAAGCTCGTGTGCTGTTTCATTCAGACTCTGTCGCCTCGACGGACCTGGTTTTCACCTGAGGACGGCTGCTTGCGTTGTGGCCGAAACGTCGTGAGAATAATTTTATTATGTTTTATTTTTATTATTTTATTACTTCCCTTCTACGTGACTTTACCGAAAGAACCAAGAAGATGAATCCCTGCAGTCACGAAAGTTTTAAATCAAAATCTAGTGGAATCTTTAATAAAATAAACTTGAGTGGTTTGTTTTAATAGTGAGTATAGAAACAAACAAGATGTATTGTAAGAGTCACTTTATTTTTCATTAATATTAAAGAAGTGAAGTTGCCTTTACATGCTTAAGCTGTTAATTTATCCATTGCATGGGGTGGACCTTATCCTTATCAATCATCCAGACATTTGCCCCCCCTGAGAGATTTTGCAGGAGCCGCCACTGGTTAAGATGTTCAAACACCATATGGTTACCTCTTGCATGGAATTAAGTCTGCATTAACCACGCATACCTGCGGTGAACATGCAAACAAAACATGCTTTGATAATGCGTTGTCTTTGAAACTGATTGGCCTATACCAGAGACTGCCTTCTTTATGGCTTAGTCTCACCGGTATCAGACCAGAGAATGCGAAAAGGTTAACAGCACAAAGCTAAGAGCATTTATAGCTCGTGGTGAGCAGCTATATCATTTGATACCTTTTTGGCCAATATCAAAGTATGAAAAATAATAGGTTTTACCCTGTCTTAAGAAAGAGCTACTGTCCATGCGAACTTTATCCTTGAGTTGTGGTCACTTGAGTGGTTTACTTCAGGGCATCTTGCTGGGGGTCCTCGTGCATTCGCAACACCCCATTGCGATTAGGTAGACACATTGTTGTTGTTCCACGAGGGGTCAAGGGTTTATTGATGCGAGTTTGTGTTAACAAGAAAAAAACCTCTGCGAGTGAAGCAGCTGCGCCGGGCCTCGTGTCGTTCTCACACAGATGCGCCTTCCCCCCAACGTCACTCCCCGCAAAGCGCCGTACGGAAGAAACGAAAGCGCTGGGGACATTTCCCCAAAATTCCCACAATTGGTAAAACAAAAAGATGCACCAAGGGGAACGGTATAAGAGCACCGTGCGGCCGGGTTGAATGTGTGCAGGTCTTGAAAGAAAATGTGGGAATTGTCTTCCTAGAATTTTACGCCCCCTTCACCAATTTGTTAATTGTTAGAAGAAGAAAAATCCCAATTTAGTTTCTAACCCAAAAAATACTATTTTTTTATTTCTTCCTGTTCTTAACAACGACTGGCGGATGCTGGATTGTCACTGACGTGAGCCGCTGTGCGTCAGTCGGCCCAACCTGGCACTAAAACCGATTCTATTGCTTGCGGCCAAACATCGGCACTGCCAAATGTATATAACGCAAAATCTTGGATTCATGTATGTTGAACTCCTTTCGCACCGTACACAACCAACCGTGCTAATCGGAGGTGCTCGTCTTGAATGAATGGCCGCGAAGCATCAAATTGCACTCTCGTGAATGGGGGGGGGGGGGTCGCGGCCCCCCCCCCCCCCTGAGATCTGGAGGCTCGGTCAATATCACGAGTTGGAGCAAACACGAAGACGAGTTATTGTTGGTTTACAAGAAAGAAAAAAAACAGTGGTTCAAATCAGTTCACATTGGACTGCCACGATTATGCGGTTGTAATTGACTCATTGACCGGAACCCCCGTGAACAGAGAAGTCACATCACAACTTCCGAGAATATGATTAGGGTTAGGCTAAATATCCGTAACGATATTTACGTGATGTTCAGAATTTTCAATGCACGAAGAGGTCCAAACAATGTAGGGCTGTATTTGTTTCATCGCGTATTGTGCTAATTTGTATGTGGCAGAGCCGATTGTACTATGGGTCTTAATTGGACATCAGGTTTGTTCATCTTTGGTAGCCCATAAAGTCTTGGTGGTTTTGACGCCCTTGGTTTGATCATGTATTTGTACGTGACAAACCTTACTCATTGGCTGTGGCGGGTGGTGGCGGGTTTAACGACACATTTATATTTATGCAATCTAACCCGAAAAAAAACCTGTATTCCTCCCGTCTGTTTGCATGAAACTGGTGGATTGGTTCACATAAGCGCATAAGGTTATTTATCAACGGACATTACGAGAGGTCACACCGTAGTGGCGAGAGAGACATTGTACACCACGGAGACATTGTACACGAGAGAGACATTGTACACGACAGATACGTTATGACCGTACTCTTAGGTTTTTTTTTATGACCGTGCAACTGATGACCTTGTGATAGATGAAGCGGTCGCTCTCTGGAGCGCTGCCACGGCTTTTGCCGCCCGCCCTTCCCTGGCTCTCAGGATGAATGTCACCTCGGATTTGCAAGCATCTACCTGGAGATTTCGCAGTCTTGTTGACATTTGTGTTTAACCTCAATTACAATCTGCCACGGAAATTGACACTTTCCTCTTTTTGCATCCCTCCTGTCGCCCCGCCGGTTACGTGCCTTACAAGATTTGTCAGCACCTTAGGCAAGGAGCATAAACCGCAGCAGCAGCGCCGGCTTTTGGCTGGCCATCGACGGTGGTCACTGCATCACCCTGCACTTTCAGGTGTGCTTCTGCGGCAATCGGAAACGCCTTAACTTCCAATAAAAGGAAGCCATTGGAGCTATGCACGTTTAGATGATCTAGATTGACAAACTCCGTTCTTTAGAACTGCGTTTTGCCTTTAGTTTGTTGTCCTTTCCCCGCACCTCCGGTTACCACGGTTGGCTTACGTAAGGTGCCAAAGAAGTGCAACACACACGCATTAGCCAGGCCGGGCGCTCGTTTGTAGTCTGCGGTTGATGGGAATCTGAGACTCCTTATGGGGTCTGTGAGACTCATTGTGGGGTCTGTGAGACTTCTTATGGTTTCATTCAGACGCTGTCGCCTCGACAGACCTGGTTTCACCTGAGGATGGCTGCTTGCATTGTGGCCGAAACGTCGTGCGAATTATTTTATTATGTTTTATTTTTATTATTTTATTACT